GCTTGAGGGAGGAAGCAGTTGAGACCCTCAGTATAGCTTGAAGATGATCATCAGTCAGTCTGGACCTGTACTTGGACTTCTTGAAGTTCAAGGTGAAGAAGAGCTTTTCGCACAAGTATGTGCTCCCCAAAAGGCACATGGTCCACTTGAACATTCGGGAAAGCTCAGGGAAACTGGGGGTCAATTCTCTCAAAAACTGCCCAAACATGTCTGCTTTTCCGCTCTCCTCCCTGAACTTCACTTTGAGTTCAGAGTTGCACTGCAGGTCAATGAGTTCCAATCCTTCTGATTCTGGTACAAACCAGCCATGGCAAGATTGCTCAGAGGCAGGTTTGACTGGTTGTATGCAATACTTTATCATGTACAGCCTGTGAGTTAGATACGCCAGGGCATGTTTATGACCTTTTTTTTAGCCCCAGGAACTATTCAGCCTGTGAGACCTTTGATGAGATGCGTCTATGTGATGGGCCAAAATCAGCCTCTGGGTTGTCACACCTGAAAAATAGAGTGTTTTTTTTTTAAATGACAATAGCCTAAATTATCCTAAGACCAGACAATTAGTGCTCCACTCTCATCACAGGGTCCAGTCCCTCTGCCGTATGCTCTGGAGCCTGGCATGTGTGAGGAAAAAGATCCCTCCAACCAGTGGAATCTGAGGAGCATAAAATGAATCCCCCCCCCACCCCCGAGAGGCAGTGTGCTGTCTGCTCAGCCGGCCCTCTGGGGACAGAGTGGGTGTTGTCCTGTGCCATGATGAAGACAAGCAATGGAAACTCTATATATTGAGAGGAATGTTAAGATCCTAAATGATCCTGTGAGGGTACAGAAGGAGCTTGCACGAGTGACCTTTTCTGGCATGAAAGTAGCTTTTGAGCCCTGCATACTAGGTGCATAGCTCTTTTCTCCAGTACTGCCTCCCTGTGATATGCTCTTTTTTCCTTCCCCCACTTTCTGTTTTCCCTCTATTTAGGGATTGTAAGTGAGGAAGAACGTTCCAAAATGTTTAAGCATGTCACAGAACTTTTGCAATTCAGGCAGATTTCCTAAGATATGTATCATACATTCTTCCAATTTTTATGATGCTCATGACTGCCTCTAATGTTTTAAAGAAATCAGCAGTCTGCATGGCATTCTTGTCATATTGCCCCACAGATGTGTTAGAACCTGAAGAACCCCCATTTGTTAGCATTGCATATTGTTCTCCCTCATTCATGCTCCGTATATTGTCCTGATGGAGTGTTGGAACCCGAGCAGCCACACCTATTTGCTTCTGCATGTTGTGCTTTCCACGGTCTTTTGAGAGGTATCTTTTCTTCTTCATGGTCTCTGTGTGAGAAAACTGCAGATGAAATGCCATATCCAAGAATGCTCAGCTTTAAAAAAATATAGAACTTCACTCAGCTTTTTAAAAAATATAGCTTCTTTGAGTCAAAATGACTTTGAAGACAGAATTAATTCTCATCTAAGACATCTCCAGATCACTAAGACAGCTGAAGCGTGTAATACCTTCCTGTTAGTGATGCAATATGAATTTGCAGAGGGAAAAACCAACTGGGGAAGGCTTTTAACAATGCTACTATTTGCAGATTGCAATAAATTGAATTATATATACAGAGCCTCTGTCTTGGTAACTCTGAATTATTTTAAAACAGAACATACTTTCTAATGATACGAATCTACAAAGGAACAAGCCCTGATTCTCTCTCTCTCTTTTATTGCACAAAGATCACTCCTAAGACCATGATTACATTTTCTACCACTAAGCTACCCCATGATTTGTCTGAACATATCATAGGAAAGCATTTTAAATTGAAATAGAAAAGATGCATATATGTTGATCAGAATCTACAAGTCTATGGATCTGCGCTTTTATCACTGTTTTCTGTTAAAAAAAGAGGAAGAGATATCATACTTAAAACAGATAATCCAATGCTGCACTAAAATAAAATCTTGTATTTGAAACAGCTAGGAAGGCAAGATACAGTACTTACATGAACCATTTATCTCAGCATCACAGTTGAAAGCAGATGTTTCACAAAAGGATCCAGCTTTTATACATTCTGAATCTTTTCATGGTGCATTAAATTAGTATTAAATCTGCTGCCTAAGACTGGCTGTTTTTCTTACCCTGTGAGCAGCTTGGGGCAGATAGCAGATCTGTTGTCTAGGCTTATATATAAGGGTCACCTGAAACTGGTTAGTCTTCTGTGAAAGAAATATTGATAGGAAGGCTATATGACCTCACCTTGGCTTTAATAGATATCAGGAAAAGGAATGAACAGATAATGAGCCAAGGTCTCTTATAGGAAGCAGCAAGGAGGTAATAATGTACATAGAGCTTTAAGAACAGGCATTTACTGCCCAGAGCCTGGTTTTTCCCTGCCCATAACATTCGAGCCCCTCCTGAAGCATCTGGGACAATGATAAAGTGAAAACAACTGCTTTAAGAAAAACTTGTATTCATAATTTTATACTGGATGGTAAAAGAAGTGTAGTGTAAGGTCTGTTATTGATTACCTTTGACACATGTTTTAAAAGGGTTCCTGTAAAAGAAGTAGTGATAGGAAGGCTATATGACCTCCCCTTGGCTTTTATGGATATCAGGAAAAAAATAATAAACAGATGATGGGCTAAGAAGCAGCATGGAAAATAATGATACAAAACCAGATAGCTTTGTGAAAAGGGATTTATTGATCAGAGCACATGTTTTTTTTTTTTAAAAATGTTCATCTGATTTTCTTAGCACTTTTTTTCCAATAGTCTATATGCCCTGTGAGATTTGCCTGTTTTGGCGATTATCATTAAGGTCTGATCAATATCTCTCTGTCAGAAAAAATGTATTACAGCCATAACTTATCAGAATAACAAGGTAAAGCATGTTTTTAAAACAGATTTTTCCACATAATATTTGCAGCATTCATCCCAGGACAAATAGGAATATACTTTTTGGCCTGGTGCTTGCATGTGGCAACCCTCACACTCATCTTTCAGATATTCAGCCAGACTGTGCTTCAGGACTCCATGAATGTTAGCCCTCACAGTCTACCCGATGGCTTTGTGTTTTCTCAGAGGAGTGTCTCTTACTTCTAGTTGAAAAATATTTCTTAAAGCTCTGTGGGGTGATTCCTGAAAAATCAAAATAGGTTTTAACAAGAATAACAAAAAAACACACAATTAACAAATATAGCAGGCCTCTGGCACTACCCTTCAGCACACAATTACATACCTGTGTTTCAGAATTTCCTGCTGAGACCATCTTCCACATCTGTCTCCTGTAACAGCATAATATATGTCATTTTGCAATCGTTGAAATCATCCCACGCACCGACACAAAACTAACAATATATGGGAAAAGAAACATCAAAGGCTTTTCTTACCGGTGCTACAGGGTTCTCTGTGTAAAAGGGCTCTCTCATATTATGCCACCTTGCACAGCTTTCAGACTCTTCCAGAAGTGTCAGTGTCAGAATCTGTGCTCATATAACGCTTTCTGGGCTTAGCCTTGGTTTGGGTAGTTACATCTATGGGCCTCTCCAGGCTGAAGGGAACATCCATCTTCTCCCCGGGATTCAGCCATTGTCCTCATTCTTGGTGGGAGGTCTAGTGGGCAAAGG